ATGGGCGCGTGGGGGGGGTTCCTCAACAAATGTTTTTGTGGCCACATAGTACAGCCTCCAACTCTTACTAGTGGCCACTCCGACAAACAGGGCTGGATTAACTTTTTAGCCTGGTATCAAATATAGTCCTTCTCCCCCCCCACCCCCCCCACCCCCAAGGAATGATTGTAAAAAGGAGAAGCAGGAGCATGGGTTGCCAGCTGGAGCAAGGCAGGGGCCAGGGCAGGAAGGATGGGTCCTCAACTTAAACAAGGCAAGCTCTGCAGGTAAGAGCCTAGTAGGGTGGGGGATCAGGGTCAGTCTCTGGAATGAGGGAGGGCCTGGGGGTAAGCACAGCAGGGCAGAGGAGGGGGCAACAGGATCCCCTACTCACCCAGAGCTGTTATCTGTCTCTTATCAGTCCTAGCCAGTTCTTTGTCTCTCACTGAACTGTCCTTCATCTAGCAGCAGCTTCCTGCCCTCAGGGGTGGACGTAAGTAAGGGATGGGGGTAGGCTAACTGAGTTTATTCCTGTAACCGGATTTTTTTTTCTAGTCAGCACGGCTAACCAGACCAGAAACTACCAGGTCTCCTTTTCTGCCAGAGTTTCTGATTGAAGAAAACTGAATACCTGGCAACAGGGGAGCCAGAAAAGCTGTGTGTGGGGGGGGCGTCATTTTTTAAAGTGAGAGGGCTAAGCCTTAAGGTAGCAGGGATGGGGATGGGAAATAAATGGTGGAAGGGGGGCCAGAGGGTTAAGGAGAGGACCTAGTGGGCAGGGCCATGTCTTCTGTGCTGTCTAGGTAGGGACACAGTCAGCTGATCCCATCCAAGTTTCCAACCTACAGTAGGTAGGCTAAAAACGGTGGGACCAACTGATTGTCACCAACCCCCAGCCCACACATGGGCAGAGATCCCCATTCCCAGCACATTGCATGGGTGAGGATCCCTGACATTGATGCTCCCTCATCCTCCCTGACTCACACCTGATACCAACAAAGTGTGAGCAGCTTGGGACCTCAGGGACCTCTTTGCTACCGCAGCCTCAGAGCTGAGCAAAGGAGATCTTAGCTGGTGGGAAGCTGAGAAAGGAGTGAAACTGGTGTATATGTGTGTGTGTGTGTGGGGGGG